GTGTTGGGATTGATTGTCCTAATGACTACACAATTTCAGGGCTTATTTCTGGATTACAAACTATCTGACTTTGTGTGCATGTAAACATCACCCTAGCTGTCAAGCTTCAATCAAAATTCTAATGACATAAAAAGGAAGAGGTTTTATGCACTTCCACATTTTCTGGACAATTACTGAATATATTACTGACTGGATCTAGCATAAGATCTTTCTGTATCACACAGTGCTAAGACCTCTAAGTCAAGTATTTACTTTGAGCTGAAGGGCTGATATTAACTTTGTCTTCTTCATTATTACATTTAAATCAACCATTTTACTTTAGGTCCAATCAGGTGTTATTCTGCACACTTTGATATTGAAGAGCAGCTCTACAAGTATGTATGTATTCAATTGGAAACAGAGCAGAAGGTGATGACCTTCATGAGTTTGAAGTGTTCATTCAAGTGCACTCTACATTATTAACTGAAAATAAAATAAATAAAAAAATCCAAAGCCCTGAAATGTCCATTATGAACACAAGCTGGTTATGTAGGAATTTGTTAAACAGCTTAAGTAATTTTTCTTTCTTTCCTTATATGCAATGATGGCGGGAAGGTTGCTTTTTCTGCATCTGTTCTATTAGATGTGGCTGGAGAGTTGAAATCAGTACAATAAATGTTTTAACAACACAGAATATTCTGAGTTGGAAAAGACCCACATGGGCCACTGAGTCCAGCCCATACAGGCGATTGAACATGTGACCTTGGTGTTATTAGCACCAAGTTTTAACCAACTAAGCTAATTTCAAGGTCACACTGCAAGCATTTATCTTCATGTGGTAAGATAAGATTGGTTTACAGGTGTGAGTAAATGCTGAGTGGGTCCAAGGAAAAAGCTTACTACGACAGAAGAAGGGTTCCTCTGCTGACTTTTATAAGCTGTCCATTTATGTATTGTGAACTGAAATGTAGTTACCATTCAATCATTGTTGTCTTAACTGTTCTGTGTTTTTTAGTTTGGTTTCTTGTTTTTTAATTGGACAATCTTGAGATCTACTGTTGATCTCAGATATGTTTACTACGTGATCTGTGAAGGTCAGTGTTTTCTTTTGTAGTTCTCTCATAACCACAAGCATACATGTTTTGCATGAACTTGCTTTTTGTAGGTCTTATTTCAGGATAATAGAAAGCGCTGGTGAAGACTGAAGCTTTATTTACTGTACCAGGATTATTTAATTTTTAAGTTACTTCAAGCAGTACTATTTGTTTTGAATGGGTGCTGATGTATAATGTAACCTTGCTAATCATGTTAAAATGGGAGACCATAATAAGGAGGAATACAGTGAAACATACCAATTTATTTCCATAATTCATGTAAGTCAGCATAGCTCAAAATAAGTACTCCATTGGGTCAAGCCTGCCTAGCCTAGTGGCAATAGGAGACTTCAAATATCTTTGATCTATATTGCTGATTTACATGAACTGAAAGACTGACTGCAAGATGTAAGTTACTTGCTCAATTTGAAATACTTATAATAATGCTTATATCACTCTTTTATATAATTTAAATGCTATAATAATAGAAACAAAAATCTATCCACAGCTGAAAAGGAGTCATTTAGCTTTCTCTTTACAGAGCTTACCAGTGATTTCATAAGGATTAAATATTTTAAAGGCATTGAAAAACCACAGCATCTCTTGCTACTTTAATCAACAACTGGCAGGATTGGGCTGCATCACCTTTTTCTGTTTAAAGTGAAGGGAAAAATTACTGCAACTTCTAGAATCAGTGAGATTCAGCCTTGGAATAACTGTGGATGCTTGTAGGTAGATTCAAACACCTTTGTATGCATTTTTAAGCTTCCAAGTCAGCTCGAGCTTGTGATTCTGGACAATCCTGCATGTGTTTAAAGGTAATAATTAATTTAAAAAGTATGGTGCAGGTATGGCTTCATATCTGTGTAGGCTTTATTGTAATACTTCTTAGAATATATGTTTTTATAAAGGTTTAGCTTTTGAGTCTTGGAGAAACAGCAGCAGATGGACTGTCTATGCAATACTGTGCTAGTAAGGTTAGCACAATCCTTACAAAATGTACTAAGTTTAAGTATGAGGTGTCCCAATATCTGTATGATTCAGATAGAAAATGAGTATCCAAAATAGGGTGCAGATGTACCTTATGTGGGAAGAACTGTAAAGAAAAACAGTCAAGTAGATGCATAAATCATATGAAGTGTGTTATGTGTAAGTCATATGAGGAGTGGCTGAGATTGTTGAGCCTGGAGAAAAGGAGGCTCGGAGAGTCCTTCCAAAGCTGCCTGAAAGGAGGTCATCCTCTTTTCCCAGGCAACTAGCAATAGGACAAGAGGACAAGCTGCTCCAGGCGAGATTCAGGTTGGACATCAGGCAAAAATTTCTTCAAAGAAAGGCTGCCCAAGGAGGTGGTGGAGTCACCATTCCTGGAGATGTTCAAGAAATGATTGGATGTGACACTAAGTGCCATGGTTGAGTTGACAAGGTGGTGATTGGTCAAAGGCTGGACTTTATAATCTTGGAGGTCTTTTCAACCATAAATGATTCTTTAGGGCGTGGTTTTGTGCAGGTGTGTTTCATGGACATGCGAGAACAAGCACAATATCAATAGCAGTGCATTAGGGTACTCTGCAAACAGCATGCCTAACTAAGCCTTTGCCACTGACCTTAGTGTGAAATCCTTCTTTGAGACAAGATTAGCAGTGGAGTCTCCAGACCTTGATCCCAGCAACTTTGGTGCTAAAGTCATCTACTGAGGTGACTGCACATACACAGAAAGAGCACCTAACAGCTAAAAGGATTCCAGAAATAAAACTTGCACATGGCCAACTTCCACGTAAGCAGAGGAGCATGGATACATCTATTTATAAATGTACCATTGTTGGGGCAGTTTACAACATACATAAAATTCAGGAAGCACCTGAAAAAGATGCAGTGACTGATGAGGAGCTCTCTGGACCTATCTGAAGACTTGGAAAAGGGAAGTTGCAGGTTTCTGAATCACAGTGGTTAAGCACCTTTAAAGGAGTAAATGACAAGTTTTATCTATGCTCTCATTTGTGCTCTGGCTACAAATAACTATTGAATCGGAGAAGTGAGGGTGGGTGGTGAGGGAATGGGACATGAAAACAACTGAAGTAGTCATCAAGAGATGCTAGAAGACAAAATTCTCTTCTCCCTGGTACTTCATGATGGTTTGATCCTGATTCTTTGGCATATTTATGGGGCTTAACACATCTTACCTAGTTTTTAGATGATAGCAGGCCCTCAATAGAAGTTAGTTCATGACATGCTCAGTCCTGGTTTCTGATGGCAGGCTGTGGCAAACTGTGGGTGATGGAGGTCTGACTTAATGCTCCTGCTCTGGTTCTTGCTATGATTTGGGACACCTACAATGGGACTTGAATAGACAAGCACAAGTTGTTATAAAAGGGCTTCATCACAAATACGCTTTGAATGGAGTCTTAATTTTATATCATGGGAGGTATCTAATCTAGAGGCGCTTTAATTTTTATTCTGAAAGTTCCACACTGCTCAGTGCTTCTGGATGGATGAAGAGCTGTTGATTATTCTGGATGTTGTTCTACATGTGGCTGTGTTTTATTCACTTATTCAGCGTGAAATATGGAAATAATTCTGTGGTTACCCTCTAATTGGTGGACTAAAAGTATAACACTTTGTTATCCTAGGTGCCTCAATCATAGATGATCACTTGAGGAGTAGTCAATTCTGCCTGCACTTAGGCACACCAATACCAATGGTAATCAGAAAAATTACTCCCTTGTTCAGAGGGAATGTAATAGCTCCCTTTTGTGTGTGATAGCTCACACCTATAATAGCCCTAAGACGAGGTTCAATTTCTCAAAGTAGGTCTCCTGTTATTAGGAGGATGTAGGAAATTTTTGCTGTATGCTTTGCTAGAAAAGCTACTGATATTAAGTATAAGCCAAACCATCTGAGTCTTTCTCATCAGAAGATGAACGCTTGAAAAAGACACATATGACGTTTCAGTTTAATGAGCTTTGTAGGTGATAAAGAACTATTTTTCTGAACTTAATTAGAATTAAAAAAAAATCAAGAAATGATAACTTTTTTACTTTCTCAAATGTGTAATTGATAAGCAACTTGTTTTCTGATCTTAATAATGTGAAGGACAATTAAAAAAATCCAAACCCCAAACCAAACAAAAACCCCTCTGGAGAGTTCCTGGAATAAAAGCAGGAAAAAATAATTTGATATTTATTATTTCTGCAAGAAGCCTCCTTGTTCAAAAAGCAGCGGCAGCAGTTAATGGAAATTGATTACAACAATTTTTCTGCTCTTTTATTCCCCTAACACACTTCTTAAGGCTACTTTGGCTTGAGATTTCTGCTGCACAGGAACATGACTCAGAAGCTCCAATGTTGGTCCTATTGCAGTGCTATGTTCTCGATAGTGTAGTGTATCCACAGCATCCAGTGGCATGGTATGTGTGGTGTGCTGCTGTGCTTGACACTGCATTGCTGGCTTTGGTAAACTGCTAATAAGTTCCACCTGAAGCAGTGATGGTCTAAGTAATGCCTGATGTTCCAGGTATTGCTTCCCCCTTCACTAATGCACCTTCCTCTCTTTCACAAAGCACTGAGATCCTCAAGCAGTGCAGCAGATAGGATCTTTAAAAAAATGAGCCAAACTTTTAGCAAAGGATCTCAGAAGATCTGTGAACTACTGTCAATTAAAGCTCCCCTACTGTAGGCTGGGTAACAAATCCTTGTAGCTAATCTATAACAAATGACAAAATGAAGACTTCTACCTAAGTAGGTATAATATTATCAATCCCATCTCCTTTTCTACATCTTGTGGCAGAGACTTGCATTTGAAAAGCCTCTAACTTCTTCTAGATAGCAGGATTACTTATCTAATAACATATATGATACTACTTGGACCTGTTTTAATTTCCTTTCAGATAAAACCCAACAGAACAGTAGTTCTTAAAAAAAACAGTGATTGTAAATTTTGCTAAAACTTTATTTGGGGGAAAAGGTTTTAACTGGGCACAGGACTTGACTCCACTTAATTCATTGTGTTAAACTTGAAATTTCTGCCTAAAAGATCTTTAAGACTAAAGTAGGCTAAAACTTAGTTATCATCAAAGTCAACTGACACAGGAGCTAGGTATAAGGCTGCTTGCGTTTTGGATCCTGAGCGATGCAGAGAGCAATGCATTCTTCTGTTCTTTTCCAGCTATACCTGCAAGAATGAAGAGAGAGATGACCCCATGTGTATGGAGGGGAACTACACAGTCAACCATCAACTAAAATGTTGATGCTACCGAAAAGGAGGGGAAAACAAGCAGGTTCTGTTCTGATTGCATTTGTTCTCATTCCATATTGGTATATCTTGTGATATTTCAGGGAATAACTCTTCCCCATCACTAATATAAGTTGAACATCATGAAATGGTGAGGAAGAATATTTATCTACTTATGGATGAACCAATGAGGAAGGCATCTCTAATCTCAGTGACATGATTGGAAGAGAATCACCTCAGTACCATTGTTATTGTAATGAGATTAGTGTCTACAAATTTAATAGGTTTTTTTTTCCTGTGGTCATCACTTGTATTAGCTGAATCTGTGCCAGTTACAGAGTGGGACAGAGATCAGTCAGTGTTCATGCAGTAAAAGGTGTCTGCTGTACAAGTCTGATAAACGTCTTAATGCCATGTGAACTGTGCATGTGCATTGTGCCATGACTTTGAAAACACATGCTCACTGATTGGACTGCAGGGCTGGGAATTAATTTAAGTGATTTTACTGAAGTGATGGAAGTAATGGTGAAGGGAAGATATGGTTGTAAGTTGGAATCACAGGTGCAGAGAATAGTTCTGTGTACTGTTGAATGGTCTCAGCTCTTTCAGCAAATGTTTTCAGGGCTTTACAAAAGGTGCAGAAGTCAGCACTACTATTTATTAGATTTTTCCTGTAGGAAAGAAGGCCATTTTTATCGTTTGCCTATGACCTGCTGCAGTGAGTATAAACCATCCTTCATCTTCATGCTGGGCACTTTATCAGCTTCTGCCACTTTCTACATCTTCCTTTCTGTTCTTTCGGGAAGCTATTTTCACTGTCTTTTCCCTTTATGTGTATCATGATTATAAAACAGCTGTATGCATCCTATTCCAGGAAGAGAGCTGTGTTCTTAGCCTGAACCCCAAATCTTCCTACACTGATGTTGATTAAGCCTGGTCTGATGCTGAAAGGATCTGCTGTGAGTGCCAATTTGTCTATTCATGCCATCTATGTTTATGCATGGTCTTTTGCATGCTGGTTTTCTTGGTAGTGCTTAGCTTTTTTATTTTCCCCAGCTTTAATCATAAGAGGTGAACTAGAATGAATGTCTGGCTTTTCCTCCTGAAAACACTTTTGCCCTGAGGAATAATGGAGGCTATTGCAAATCCTGCATTCACAGATTTCTGTGAATATTTCTGCACCAGTGATACCCAGCCTGGTGAGGGTTGAATACATAGATTTTATGTTGCTAGAAGCTGGGAAATCATGCATTAAACCACTGTTCATCTCTACTCACATAGACTGGGCACGAACAAGCAGGCTGTCACCAGCAGATAGAGTCAGGGTCTTACCATCCATGGTAACAGTTGAGGTGCCCTCCTGAAGAGAAAGAACAGGTAACCAGCTTTTAATTTTCCATGTCCTGTCACTAGCAGAAAGAAAATGCTGCAAGAATGGAAATCTTTCCCACTGAAAGAGCACCTCAAGCCTGCTCTGTTTCATGAGGCCTAGTTAAATATTCAGTTGACCTTCCCTGTCCAACACTATTAGCATCAATAAAAACATGCTTCATGGTTCACTGTTCCCCATTGTAAAGCAGCAACCTGTTGCCTGATTCTTGGGGTACACTGTTACCTATCTAACCTAGCAGCCTGCAGATTGGTACAGCCCCATATATCACAGAGAGAATCTTCTGGAGTACTTGAAGCTCCTCTTCTACTTTTCTGATATTTTTCTAAGTCTTAAAAAGTAGAGACCTGACTGAAATTGCTAATAGTTCATTCCAGTCTGGATGGACTCCTAGTTATTATCTTGTCAAACAGAGGAGCCAGGTACTTGCCAGTCACAAGGTCTTGACTGCATTGGCTGCTGTAAGGTGCAGTGTAAACAAATGTCTTTCAAGATTATTATGTCTTTAATTAGTATTTGATAGTCCCTGTGAATTTCAACAGAACAGGAACTGATAGAAATACCTGCCTCTCAAGCTAGCCTGACTTGCGTAAGCAAAAACTATCTTTTCTTTGTTTTTCCCTTGGGTTGCAAAAGTTTTCTAGAAGTCAGTTGAATGAAGGACATGTGGATCACCTACCACTGTGGTTTAGTATAAACAAGTTCTCAGATTTTTTTTATTAGCTTATTCTACTTGATTCCAGTTTGACTTCAGTATGAGGACAAAGGCTTCAAGGTAGAACTAATAGGTGATGTTGTCTTATCACCTAGAGGCATTCTGATATATTTACAGGACATATCCTAGGTAGGGTGTATTAAAATCCTCAACAAGGATAGATGCCAGTCCTCAATGTACAAGATGAGGAAAAAGAGGCTATTTTTATGGTGGCAGTACTTTACAGTTATTTTTCCTTACAGTTTAAAGCTGAAAGGCAGTGCCTATGGGTGATCTTATCTACAAGAAGGAAGGTAATTGTTCCAGTTTCTGTTGCTAGAAGGTTTTACTACTGTTCAGTCTGAACTGAAACATGAACTCATCAGTTAACAAGCATGAATTGCCACATACCAGCTGCCATATCCAGATATCTGAATTCTTTTTACTTTTCTCAGTTGTTCCTGGTCCATAAGCTATAACCTTTAAAAAAAAGGAAGAAAAGTAATGGATTTATCCCAGTGACCAAAGTGTCCATATTCATCGTCCAAGAGCATTTAATACATTCTATTTTTACAGGACAATATTCATAGAAGATGACGTTATTTTTACAGACATTAAAATTCACACTATGTTTGGTATTCTCATATTGATTCCTACTGATAAAAAGGGAACTGATCACACCTGCCACTCCTTATGCTCCTCTGCATCCTCGCTTATCTATTCCTTCTGCTTCCTCCTACTCTCAGTTTTGCATCTACATGGTTCCTGCTTCTGTTCTTGGAACAAGCACTTCCTCCTCATGAACTCTGGGCCCTGTCAAGAGCCTGTTGAAGTAGGAAAGTTTCCTCTGTTAAATAAAAAAAGCTGAAAACCAGACTTTATCTCTCTCATTATCTGCCCTTTCATGACAGTCCCACATTGTCACTTTGCTGTCATATGTATTGGATTCTTCAGCATGACTCCAAGTAATTCAGGGGAAGAATATGTTTTGTAAACAACATGCATACAGCACAGATATCAAATGGTGACAGCTTCATTTAGACTCACACTAGACTGTGTTTGACTAATCTGAGAAGTGCAATGTTTTAATGCAGCCCAGGCTCTCTGGTGCTTTCCAGTTTTCCTTGTTTCCACTTTAATGTAGATTGAGGGGGAGAAAAAAAGTGTGTTTACACACCTGTATTAGACTTTGGCACCATGAATGCTCTTCAAACACGTAGGGAAGCTGAACACACTTCAGTAATATTTGCATCATGCTGGTGCTTCTGATTTGGGAAATATGGGGGGGAGGGTGGGGAGGAATGGAGTAAAGGAGCTGTTTTAATCCCAAAGGAAATTATTAGAAACAAGATTCAGGTTGATTCTGTGAATGGAAGTAATGAGCTAGGAAGCCCTTGCCCTAAGCTAATCAAATCAATGGACAAAGGTATTTCTGAAGGGCAGGGCAGACTAAAACTGAGTTCTGTCAGGGTGCATAACTTTCTCTGCTGACTATATATTGTTCTCAGGCCTGGATTCACTTGGTCTGGACAGCAGGTATGTATTATCTGTACCTTTAAAAATATTCCTCTCTTTTTAGAGAAATTAGACCCCCCTACCTCTGTTTCAAAATTATCTCCAAACATACTCAAGGATTTCTTCTGTTTTATTTCACCACGATGATCTTTTAACCAGCCTGGGAAGGAAAATGGCTCCATAACGGAAGTGGAATTTAGTGGGAAAGGTGTTTCTTTCAGGAGTTCATCTGTAAGCAAGGCAGAGAGATATCAGCGATACTTACTTCCCTTGATTTTTGCAAACATTTTACTTGAAGGGTTCAATTTACAGCTACTATCTAGTCAAAAGTCAGTTGAAACAGTAACCAGGTCATTATCAGGACTTCTTATTTGAGATTCTAAGATGCATGTGTTACCTGTGTATCTTTACGGAGTGGTTTCTTCAAAGATATTTTCAGAACTGCATATTCAAACAGTATGCAATAGACTAGTTTTGGCTGCATATTCATCATTCTCTTTCAGATCAGCATTTGCACTGGAAAAATGTGGTGTATAATTTTTGAGCCTTTGCTCATATCATATCCCCATATAAGTGGAGTTCAGCCTTTAGAACCAACTTGCTCTAGATCTCTCACATAGTTAGTACTGGCTTCTCCCTTATATGTTTTTAAACACATTGACCACAGTGAAGCAAACGGGTTATCACAACCTAAAATATAATTTTTTTTGTGCTGTTCCTGGAGTTGTAGCTGGATTTGATTTCCAGTAATTCTCCTTCGTAAATAATTTGATTTAAAATAGCTGGAGGACTAAATGTTATTTCAGTGTAGCTGGCAAAATTCAAGATCTGTGCTGCATGTTGCTGGTATATGAAATGAGCTTTAGTTATTTACCAGCTCACAATGAAGTGCAGAGACAGTGCAATTGCTTCAGTGATTCTAAGTGGTTTGTTCCAAGATGCCATGGGGGAACACCTCAAATAATAATGCCAACTAGATACCAGAAGAACTCACTAGATGTAGTGTTTGCATGTTTTGAATGTATCATGTCAGTTTTTCATTAAAGACCATTTTCTATGAAGTTTTTGAACGATGTGGAAAGGTCAGTGCATCCAAAGGATAGCAGTGTACTGAAGATGCTACTGCTGTTTATGGCATCATAGTAAGCACCGAGTACACTCATCTCCTGATAATCTGTGTGGAATGCTAGCCCTTTTGTTGTAGAAATAGTTTTTGCCATTCAAATTTCTTTTTCATTATATTGGGAAGTTGGACCAGATGACCCACTGCAGTCCCATCCAGCCTCACTCATTCTGTGATATTAAAATAATTGGGAGAAGTCAATATGTTTCTTGAAATAATTTCTCTTGGCAATGTCTCTTTCAGGAAATACTGAAAGCCATCTGAAGAAATCTGCAGCAAAAGAAGAAATTTTTATTTAAAGGGGGTTTTTTTCTGGACTTTTAAACATGAAAAAGATCTAGTCTCAAACATTCTATATTCTATTGTTTGATAACACTAAAATGCAGTGTTAAGGTAATTGGTGATTTATTTTCCACATATGTCTGGTTCTCTTGAGGTTTTTTTGCTTAATTTTCACAGGTTCATCAAACGTTTTGGAGGTAATTAAGAACACTTAAACACCTTGTCCTTAAATAATGCATATGCTCAATGAAACCTGCATTGGAAAATTGGGTTTTTTTAAAGGAGATATACAAAATAAAGCTCTAAATGCTATGATATAGCCAAGGGGAAAAAGAATATTTATCAGAAATTTTATCAGAAGATATTCAGTGCAATTAGTATTCCAAAAGTCTTTAAAATATTTTGTTCCGTTAATAGTAGGAATCTTTATCAGCTGGGTTTTTTTGTTTGGTTGGTTTTGTTATCAAAATAAAACTCATCTCTCTTGAATTTAGAAAAGTTTCTTGTAGTTTTGAAGTACAAGAAGGTTACCCATTGGTAACTTTCTGACAGGGCTTTCTGTCATGCGTGTCCTTGTTGAGATAGGTGTGGAGGGGTTTGGTGGATTCTTTTTTTTTTTTATTTGACAAATACTGAGATGTCATGAGTATCCTGCTCAACTCAGGGGGGCTATGTTTTCTCCATAGGTCAAGAATTCTAGCATCAAACTAACAAGTACGTTCAGACTTGATATGCTGCAGAATGGATAGCAAAAAGCCAAGTCTTGAGGAATGGCACTGTGGTGTTTTAGGCAAGCAGAACTATGAATGCTCCCCATGAGTTGCAAGGAATCTGAGGTACAAAAAAGCCAAAGTACTTGTTTGTGTTCTGACCATGAAGCAACACAAATCTAACAATGACAAGTAACTATAAACTCCTAAGTTTGTAGCTTAACTTCTGTCAATTATTCTCCACAAACATAATTTTGTTAGTTTTCCTCTTTCTAGTGATCTCTGGGCCCAGCTGCCCTGACCAACATGGGACACCACCATATGGTGGCCTATGCATAGTTGGGGTCAGTGTAAAGTGTAATACATCCTGCACTTACCATGGTGCAGTCCTTTCTTGCTTGTGATATACAGGCAATTTCTAGCAGTTTCATTTACTTTCATGTAAAGGTGGACTTTTGTTTATTTGGACTTTAAGTTCCTCAATTCAAGAGCTGTTTTTTTGACATTTGTCTTGTCAGCAGACCCTGGCCTGTGATGGGGTTTTGGCTTAATGCTACTTTTGATATTAATGACACTTTCCCAGTGACAGCACAAAGGCCTTTGAAAACTGCATCTGTATGAAATTAATCTATAGTGCAGTCCAGCACAATGATTCAATTATCTGTTACTGCGGAACAAATAAGACAGTGCTATGGTGATGAGGTATGTGACATATATGTGACATTATCTTGACTACTTGACTGAGTTCTTATTTAACCCTGATACTGATTCCTTGCATGATGCTAAAAGCTGCGTCCTAGTGCTTGTGAACTTGAGCTAACAAGCTATAATGAAGACAATCCAATCTTTTTCAGTCCCACACATATCAGAGTTGAAGCCTGGTGCTTCCAAAGGAACTGAGTGTTTCCTATCAGGCTAATGGCTTATATTTAGATATTGTTGCATATATTTCCGCTTAGCCTGTACATTAGCTTTCAACAGTATCTCAGGAAGTGTAAGTCTGTGTTTCTGGAGCTCTGTTCTAGCAATACTGTGGGACAAGGAGACATGTTTAATGATTGTAAAAGTAAAAATATGCCAGCAAAATACAAGAAGATGGCACTTCTAAGCTAATCAGCTAAAAGTCTTGTGTATGTTTTTCTAAGTAATATAACACTAAGTGGAACATCAAATCCAGTATTTTCTTATGTGTTCAGGACAACCATTTAAATAGTTCAATATCAAAGTCCATTTTTGTAGATAATTACTATTAAAAATTCATATCACAGTGATGTGTTATTTATGAGGATTATAGCTCTTTTCAGGTTTAAATTAGAATGTGATGATATCATGTTAAACTGAAAAATACATCATGTTTACTGAATGAGTTTGTAAACATTTAAAAAAAGAAATCACAGGTTTTAGAGGAAGTTGATTTCAGTTAAACAATAGAGACTGTACTGAGACTGAGCATATTAAACCAGGCAAAAAGTAGAGAACTGCTTGCAAGACAACAGCAAGTGAATGTATGGGTATTTACAGCCTCCACAGACACCATCTAAGGAAGAGGTTGAGCTTGTTGGGAGTACTGTACTTCTGATAGCAATAGAGAGGACAGGTAAAGGAGGACTGACACTGACTTAGCAGGTATATGGGGCTGTATTTGCTTACCCCAAACTCATGTTACATGGAAGGTCTCCCACCCCTACCCCTGTGATGTGCCTAAGCTTTCTTGTAAAAAAAATCAACATCTCATTCTCTGAGTGTTTCTTGAGCCCTATTATTCTCAAGCTCTTCCATAGCTCTCTTACAAACCTTATTTCTTCAGGATTTGTGCAAAGGAAAAGAGCAAAAAAGCATGTGAAATATACTGAAATAAGGTCAACTGTCAAAGTGATTATGTTGGCTTTCTGAAAAACTGTATTTTTCAGTGATGTGCCATCCTTTACTTCTAGACAGCACACTCTAGATGGAACAATCTTCAAATCTTTAAATCTCCTTATATATTCTTATTAATTATAAAAGCCCCTCCATCCTAAGGCACTGTGCTGCCTCAGAAACAATCTGCCCCTGCATGTTGTGGCCCCATCTCTATGCAAGGATGTGAGACAGTCCATTACAAATGGTGTCTCCCTCTGTAAAAGTAGAAGACATCCTTATCCAAAGTGGAGCCATTGAACCCTCTTTATTTTTTCAATGGTCCAGACTACGGATAAAGAGCTCATGAGTTATTTTTAAATTATGTATTCATTTATTTCTGTGCACTTTCTAATTATGATTTGCATCTCTTAAACACTATATATCATAATGAATAATTCTAATGTGAGGGTTTTGCAGCATTTCACATTTAATTGCCAATGTCAGCAATAATACATACCCTGGGATGTTTTTCCCATATGTGCCTACCTAATTTCTATGGAAAAATCTGCTTTATTCTCCATGTTAACAGAAATGTCAATGAGACTAGTAGGATTTTAATACCTCTGCAAATAAAACCTGTGAAATTAGGGATGTAATTTCAGACATCAAGGTTTGAAAAAACAAGTAGTTAGCTCATTCCATATAAAAAGCCAGAGTGAAAGCACTGACAGTGACTGATTACTTTGGGGGTTGTTTGTTCATGTCACTGTTGTTGAGTATAGATGCAAAAACATTTAGCTGAAAATACAGCACTCACTTGGAATAATCATACATTCCCTGTGTAACTGTATTTGTTTTTGTAGCATGCCCTGAGAATTGGCATGACTGCTAATTTATGACTTGTCTCTGTAATTATTTCTAGGCACATTTTTCTTTGTGTCATTAAATCTATGCTGGAAACTGAGCAACAATTCTTTTTTTCCTAATTGAAACAAAGAAGTTTGATGAGGAAAGCCTTGAAAATATTTCTGTAATAAAGAAATATAGCCTTTTCAAAAGGAGATATCATCAGCCATAAGGGAGGAAAGAAATTAGAAGAAAAAAAAATGCAATATTTAAGCCATAATTCTGTTTAAAGGTTCTTCATGATCTAGCTAGGTTATTGTAATTAAGAATGATAAACTGTATTGAGAAATACTGACTGCTTTCCCAATCCTAAAATCAGGAATCTTAATGTTGTTTCTGCATCTGCCTTTTATAAGTGTGGACATTTCA